AATTGTATGTACGCATCTTCTTGCTTCCTCGTCGAATTCGCATCGACAAACAGAGTTTGTCCGTTGCGATTGCTCATCAGGCATTCGAATAATCCAGCCGTGCAATGTGTACCTACGGCGTTGGCGGTCGCGTATAGAGCGCAGAGAATCAGAATCGTTTTCATTTTGTTTGTTCCTTTTTCCGATGATGTCATCGTTAACATCTGTCTCCGTTGAAGTGCGTTGCGTGAGTTGAATGATATGCGATTTTTTTGGTCCAATTTAAGTGATACGTTTTTGATGACGTCATCGTAATCGACGCTCGCGTTCGAATTCTATGATGTCATATGGGTAAAAAGCTTTAAATAAGCGCATCGACGGATAATAGTCTTCATTTCATTGTTTCACGATGCCTTCCTTCGTTAGACAAAGACCACGTTTGACTCCGTCCACAAGAGTGCGATTGCTTTGGCTAAAGAAATGTAGACGAACGATTTACGAATGTTGTCTCAAGCATATAGGAGACAGAGAACGACTAGAACGAGTGTTTCCGAAATCGATCATCAACGTCATCGTCAACGGAAACCGGAATATAGTGGAATCGACAAGATCACGATTGATCTCAGATACCTCGGCACTTTACCGTCTGCTGCACGACATCATCGAAGAACGGAGGGAGACCGGATTCAACATGAACGAATGCGCCTCTCTTCTCTGGTACACGCTCCATTCGTGCAAACTTGCGAAAAAACAACTGATGTCGATGAAGTATCGTGCCTTTCCGAAACCGGGAAAATACGAAAAAGTACTGAAGCCGAACTCGAAACCAACACCACCACCACCACAACTACAACTACAACGACGACGACGACAACTACAACTTGATCAGTGAGTGAATAAACAACAACAACAACAACATTTCAATCGGCCGCCGTCCGGCCGTCCTGTAAATACACAATTTCGTCGCAGTATTTTTTGTGTTCTTGCAATGAAGTTGTGTTTCTGCAGTACGGTTGTGGCGGGTGTCATCCCCCCCTGGTATGATATAAAAGTACGACGACTCGCTCTGCTTCACTCTTCGTTAGAATATGAGATGGAGGTTGGTGAATCAGAAAAAAAATGGTCTGTTGTACGTCATGTGCGACGAGAATGGCCGTAAGATAACGGTGACTTCAGAACGAAAGGTGATTCCCTTCCTCGAGTATACTGTAGGCGAATGCGACGATAGAGGATTTATAGTCGCGCGCCACATAAACACAAAAGGTATATCGGATGATTTTGTCAGACGCTCGTTTAAAAGGTACAGATGGCGCAATGCCGTGGAAAAGATCACCCAGAACGATATCCCACGACGCAGTAGTTATTCGTTCTGCGAGCTGATCGAACGAGTTGTGGAATTGCAGCGTCGGCATCGAAACGTCAAGAATTTCGACGAAATCCTTGACGTTTTGAGAATTGTCCGATCCGAAGCCGATTCTGTGGGTTCGGTGATAGCAGCTAGAGATCCGACGGTGATTCGGATGAAAAAGTACGAACGTTTGCTGAACGGTGGTCTCGACACGTATTCGGATGTGGTCGAATACAAACTGTCGAAATGCGTATTGTCCACCTCGGAGCATTTGGAGGGTCTTGTGAAGTTGGACTGGTTGTCGGAGTCTTGGTCGACGACGCCTGCGATAGCCGACGTGCTAGTTAGATCGAGGGAGTTTCTGGAACGTTACGCAGATTCGCTGCTTTCTACGACCGACGACAAGTCGCTCGATTGGAGAAATCGAAAAGATAGGGTCACGTTGACTGCACCTACCGGAAAGGAACCGCATTCGACTGTGTACGAAGACGTTATACCCGTGTGTGAGGTGAAATGCAATGCCGTGGTGCAAAGATGCACCAAATGTCTGGTGTTGCACAACCTGTTGAACGATTGGACCATGGACTGTTGGATTGCGCTGCTGGCCTGGAAATGGCCGGCGGTGAAACAAGTATTCAGAACGGGAGATGTGGTGGACGAAAAAACCACCACCACCACCACCACTACCACGATCAAACTGTCGGCATCATCATCGGGTAGAGAATGCAAACTGTATTTTAGAGAACTTTTTCGATTTCTTGTTCCCTTTTTAAGGGTGTCTGATGAATGTAGAAATGGGTTGATGAAAGTTTTTTTGAATAATAAATAAAAAAATTAAAAAAAAACGAACAAACAAAACACACATAGTTTTTTTGTTTTTTTTTGTTTAACAAACGTTTATTACACCGATAAGCTGTGCAAGCGCCATAACACGTTCAGCAGACATTCGATAGCATCTTTCTTGTCGTAGCCGAAAAATGTCCTCATGTTGGTATTCCAATATTCAAGTCTGGCCCGTAAATAGTACCGGACGTAATCTTTAACGTCGTCCGCAGTTTGCGCGTGCCATATCATGCTTCGCAAAGTGTCCATATCCTGCACGAAGCCGACCATCTCCCAGTTACCGAGTCGGATTGGGTCGATTGCGGCTTTCCGGCGAATCAATTCCTTGTACGCCGAACTTGCGTATCTTCTGATCAGGGACACCTGTCGTTCCATAGATTTGAAACGTCGAAGTTGGATCAACTCGTCGAATGTTGATGCTTCGACGCATTGAACGCCGAAGAAAATGTTCTTGAGGGCATCTTCCACGTCTTCGTCTCCGTTTCCGAATTGCAACACGAGTTCCGGGTACGTGTCGCGAAGACGGAGGAATTTGCGTATCACGTCGGCCGCAGAACGCCTACCCGCGATATCTGAGAGGCCGGTGCGTATCTCGAGCATTTCCTCTTCGAAATCCAATTCCCGTCCGTCGTACGGAACGATGGCGGCAAAATCGACCAGACCGGCTTCCAGTGCGGCCGGTATGTAGTCGTATACGGCACTCGTTACGTCCTCGAAAGATACGAGACGACGTTGCTTCACGTACTCAGACATCGTTGGGTTATTAGCGCCGTTCTTCCGACGACCCGACCGTAGCTGCATATCGTACGCCATGTCGAGATTCGAACTTAGAGGTCTGTCTTGCGACACAAAAAGTGTTGCGACTGGGACAAGACGAACTTTCCTCGAATTTCATAGTCTTCCGTCTGTTCTCTATTCTCGTTACGCATCCAACGCAGACGCTCCGATGGGTCTAATTGGACGAAAGAAACCCGTCCCGACGGTTTACGCGGTGGAAGAGCGGACGCGGGACGACGACGTGCTCGTGAACATGCGATGGACCGAGCGTTCGGTGGTGCTGGACGAGAGGCTCAGCATTCGTTGCAACTCTGTCTCTGTCGGATGCCTTTGCGCTCGGGTGTCAAGCGGTGGTCAGGAACGTGGGTAGTAAGCTGAACGTTTGGCGCATATTGGACTTTTCCACGATCGCGTACGAGTCGGAAGCCGAAGAACTGAAAAGTGTCATATTCGTGCAAAGGCGATGCAATCAGGTCAGATACTCGTACGACGTCATCAACCCGGCCGGTACCGGTTCGGAATCGATCGTCATTTGTCGATATTGTTACATAGTCCTAACGTACGTCGATCTCAAGAACAGGCCTCCGACCAAAGGGGTGTACATAGACGAGAACACGTTGGTGCCTTCCTGCTTCATTCGCGACGGTTGGTCACGTTATCCTTGGATGGTGCCGGAGTGCGTCTGACCGTCAAGCAACCCGATCTGGCAACGATGCGCTCGTGCGGTTGCGGTGTCATCACGTCCCGTCGGTCGTGCGTATTTTGCAGCCAACGGCCACCGGCACTTGGGTCATCCGATGACATATGTCTTCGTCGATGAGCGTTTTTGCCAACTTGACGGACTCTTCGTCGTCTTCGTCGTCGTCGCCGTCTTCGTCGTCCGAATCTTCGTCGAATAACTGTTGAATGGACTCTACGCAAGCCTTGCGTCGATCTCTTCTACGCGCGACGTTTGCCACGCGTCGGTAGACTTTCTTCGGTTCCATTCGTTTACTGTCTTTCACCAGACGGTATTCTTCCTCTTTCAAACGATCGTATTGCATCGCGTCAACCTCGCGCATTTCGTTCTTCAGTTCGTCTTTCGTCATCCGGAACCTGGCTTTTCCGGTGCTCGCCTGCAGTCGTTCGTAAGCTTTGCACATCTTGATTTTGGAGGCCAGTTGGCCAGCACACATTCCGGATTCCACCGACTGCTGTATGCGTCGACGTTCGCCCGAAACTTTCTCCTCGCATCTGTTCTCCATGGCTGCAAGATTTCTCAACGCTTCCACCCGCTTGAATTCGTACCGACGATGACGACGGCTTGCTGGGAACATTTTTTTTTTCCTTTCTTTCGAGTAGTTCTCGTATATACATGAGTACGCAAAACAAAACAAAACCAAAACAAACTGACTGACAAAAAAAATGAAGAGGATCGCCGCTTTGATCGCGGCGATGGTCGTTTTCGCGGCCGTCTTGTACGGAGTCATCGATCGGTACGAATGGGACGGCGAAACGTTCGGAAGCCCGAAAAAAAGCTACAAAGTGTTGCTGACGGCCAACATCGTGCTATTCGTCATAACTTTCTACTCGGGACTCAAGTTTCCTCTCATAAGATATCTGTCTTACTTCTACGGCGGTAGCGGCCGGTTGCTGTTCGTCACCGAATCCGTCGTCCGCATAACCGTGCTGCTGGGATTGGATTACAGAGTGCAGAACCTGGTTGTGTCGCAGCTGTCATCGCTTCTGGCCATCCTCTTCGCCGATCTCATGGCCATCGTCATCGAATCCGCTATGACGCAGTATCCGTACGACGTTCGGTGAGTCGAACGGCACCGGCCCATGATAAATCCACGCTACGCACGACTCGACCGCCTGCTCGTACTTGAACGACAGCACTCGCTCACCCCTCTTCATTAGAAACCTGTTGTCGTCGTACAGAAAGCAGAGACCGTCTCCGCCGGGCAAGCCGTCAACGTCGCATCGATTCATCTTGGGGCAGCCACCCGAAACGGGCATGGCTGCAAAAATGTGCCAGGTCAATAAACACTTGTACAAACACGTTATCTCGTCCATCGTATTACTTTTCAAAGTTACGCGTCCCAAACCGTCCACGTACTCGCAGACGCTTTCGGCCGGCACGTTGCATGCTTCCATCTACGTCCTGAACGCCACCTCGTATCTGGTGTTCTTCGGGTCGATCACCGAGCACGGATCCACCACCATCCTGAAAAATGAGTTCTTCGCCGACTTGCGCTGTTCGCGTTTGTCCGGGTTGGCAAGCATGGATGTGTATAAGAGACAGAAATAGTACCATGTTGCCAAACGAAAGCCACAAACCATCTATGGATAGTTCCGGAAAACATTCAAGTAATGTGTCAACAGATGGCCAACTTACAACAGACAGAAAAGATGAGATGCACTCAACACCTGTAGTTGTGCGCAATACCACAGTAGTAATTCAAGCAGAAGAATTGGTCCCTTCTGGACCACTGGATGGCAATACTATCAACACCAACAAGTCTGCTTTAGACTGCACCTCAAAAGATGAAGTTATTAGATATAAGGATGTAAAATTTGAAGAAAATTATGCTACCAAGTTCTCAAAAGTAAGTCAAGTATTTGGTGATACAGGACGTAAGTCTGAATCAGTTGGGTATACCCTCGGTGTAAATCAGAGCAGCACCCCTGAAAGGAAATCATGTGTTCATGACCCTGAAAGCTGTCTCTTATACACATCTAGATGTGTATAAGAGACAGACTACAACCACAGTTAAGTGTTGGAATTGTGACAATGATCATCCAGGAGTGGGCCTGTTTTGTCCGTACTGTGGAGAACCAAATAGTGGTCAAGTAAAAGAAGAAGCAACCCCTTCAACAGGTACAGTATTGTGTTTGATCATTTATTTATGACCAGAGGTAGCATCTTACTTGGATTTTCCAGTTGTAAGTAAAAAGAGCTCTTTACTGTAGCAGCTGTCTCTTATACACATCTAAGTTTGTGACTGTGTGCCGGCGATCGGAGGCACTGACCTTTAACCCAGAGACATTCTAGAGAAAAACATTTTTTTTTCAACACATCACAATTTAAAATGCAAAATAAGATTTAATATTTTTGCTTGCTCCAAAGCACTAAATGTACTACTGTTTAACATTTGGTGCTGGAGGCTCATCAAGATAAGTTTCATGGTCGGAGGCACAAAAATATCTTCTCTCATTTG